CCAGCCTCCGGGCCGCCTGAGCTGCGCCCTGCGATGGCGACTCTTGGTTTACTTTCCAGATTCCCTGGGCTTCTGGGACCAGCCTCTGTGCTCAGAGATCCCTGCACCAGCAGGGCAGAGCTCCGTCCTCAGGCGCACGCGTCCCGGCTCCATGCCAATGCTCCAGGCTTCTAGCAGCGGGATCTCTTCTGCCCTCGGTCCCCCAGCCGCGTGGGGCGGGCGGCCTGGCTGCTTCTAGATGGGCTTTTCTCTGTGTCTCTGTCCTGCCTCCGACTCTGCCCCACTGGCGTCCGCTCTCTGACACTTCTCTCTGTAACATCTGTTCCGTGTTTTACATTTTTTGTTAGAATAACAAACGTGCTTGCTTTTCTCCAGGTGGCCTCCTGGCTAGTCAGAGCGCGAGCACCTCCCGTCTCCCTCACGGCTGCGGGGCCCTGCGCCTACCGCCTGACGCTGTCGACCCTCACAACACCGTAGGAAGCAATACCAGCCCACGGTTCAGAGGCGGAGGCAGAGGCAGGCACAGCGGGGCCTCGGAGCAGGTGAGGCTGGCTGGGGCGAGGCCCTGTGCTGCGCCCCGCGGCCTCTCCCAGAGGGCTGGGTGCTCGTGGCTGCCTAATGTGGACCCGCTGTGTCTGTTGTTGGGGGCTTTAGCTGTCTGTGGGACCCGACACGTGGGGCACATTTAACCAGGAACTTTAGACTTTCCGGGTTATTTGGCCCGTGGCTTGCTATGACCTGTCCTCGTACCTTCTCAGCCCGCACAGCCCCGGCCCGGGCCGTTGTCTTTCATCAATCTGCCAGTGCTGCTCTAAACGTGGCAACGTGGCCAAGGACCTGCCTCCTGTTTGGCAGAAGCTCTAGACGGCACAGAAGGGTAACGGCACCAGAGCCTCAGAGTCTCCCCGTCTGGGTGTTTGTGACCCCCCAAAGGCGCACGCAGAGTCCGAGAGCCCTGCCCGAGGCTGTCCGCCGGAGCCCCGCCCTGCCGGCCCTCGAGTTTCCAGCGGCTGCGGCAGCGGCTGCTACCGCTGTCCTTGCAGAAGTTGGGGAGGGTCACTCCTGTAGCACTTGGCTCCGTCTCCCGACTCTGCCCTCGCCCCAGCGTGGCTCCCGGTATCCTATAGCGAGAACCAGCTTAGACATCCAAGTTGGTATTATTTTTAGAAAGAAAGATCGTTCCGTCTCAGCTTGCTGAGTCCTGTTCAGAGAAGGAAGAGGCCTCCGATTTTGCCAGAGTGTGAGCTGGAGCGGGGCAGCGTGGAGCAGAGTCCTGAGTCACTGCCTGAAATGTTCTCCTTTGTTGCAAAGACTGACCTTGTCCCGGCAAGGCCTTCCTCGCGGGCAGGGCTGTGCCCGCCCATCGCACTCCCCTCTGTCCTGTCCTGTCCAGGCGGGAGAGTTCTCCTCAGCTAGCGAGCTGCGGCGCCTTTGTCCGCTCCGTTTTAAAACAAAGGTCAGATTTCCACAGTCCCTGCGGAACCTGCAGCCCCGTGAGCAACGGAATCGTAATTTTTTTTTTAACCTTGAAAACCGAAATTGGCTTCAACAGGGAAAATGTCACGCTGTGTGGAGCGGGCCCCTTCTGTCTTTCCTGGAAATGCCCGTGGGGCTCGGGGCCGCAAGGACCCACCTGGTCTGAAGGAGAAACAGTAAAAACAAAACCAAAAAAGGTGTGTATGTGTGGGGAACGGGTCAAATTCGCCTCTTCTCTTAAGATTTCAGAACACACATACGGAGGAACAAGGCTTTCTCCTTCCTGCATACCCTGTGTCAGCGTTCTCCAGGAAGAAAACCCACATGGTGCACACACGCGCACGTGATTGTGAGGCTTGACAAGCTGAAAGTGGAGGGTGAGTGGCAGACCGGACTTGAGTTCTGCTGGTAGGATTTGGTCTTGCAGGGGGAGGGGCCAGGCCAGTCCTGTCCTAGTCAGGCCTGGGTGAGGCCCACCTACCTTATGGCGGGCAGTCGGCTTTAGTCAGCCCCATCCACTCAAATGTCAACGCCAATCATTTAAGCTCTGCAAACACCTTCTCCGAACATACGGAATAATGCCTGGCACAGGTCTAGGCATCCTGGCTCCGCCAAGTTGACGCACAGAGTTCACCATGACAGTGTAGGAATTTTCGCTCAGAAGACGGGGAGGCGCAGTCTCGTCTTTCACTGAAGTACCCCAAGCGCCTAAATGGGCCTGGTAAACACTTGGTGCTCAGTGAATGTTCACGTAGACATGGTAGAGATCGGAGACGGGGGACGAGGGAGAGCAGAGGGGGCCCTGGGGTTTCCTGACTGGGGATCCCAGTTTGTTCGCAGAGTGAATGGAGGGGAAGGTGCCGTTCTGGGAATCGAGGAATTGAAGATGGGGTCGGGGTGCAGTGCATCGAGGTTTGAGGGGTTTTCTGGAATTTACATGTCGGGGGCATGCGAATGCGGTGGTTTCCTTTTGTTTTAGAAGGCAGCAAGGCTTCTGGCTGGGCCTGTCAGCGGGACACGTGTGCACCACTTAAATAATTTGACCTTGTCCTTTACCCCTCACTTCACTTTTTAAAAACCTATTCTGGGAGAGAGGGGTGGGAGGGGCAGTCACTCTGGAGGACAGTAGAAGGTGGATTGGCAGCCCAGGGCACTTTAGTTTCCAAGTCCTGAGGTCTCAGGCTTGTGAGCCTTTCTGACTAGACAAATCATAACCTATCGTTGCCTCGGGCGCAACGTGGCCACAGGTAGAGTCCCTGAAGGACAGGATGCCTTCAGAAGACACTGTGGACACGAGAGGAGCCTCGCCTTCTCCGCCCCGCCTCGGCAGCTGACAGCACCCTTTGCCGCCTGCCTTTCTCTTTGTTCTTGGATCTTTCCCAGCAAGGATTGTCTCGTGCCTCTGAAGCCCGAACATAGCCCTGAGCACAGGGAAACGCGGAGCCCTGAGTCAAACTCTATGTAATGTCAGGTCTTCAGGCCTACACCCCCCGCCGGGAACCCACCCGAGGCTGGGGGGGCAGCGCTGAGCCCCGGCCACGAGGCCACCCCGGTCTGGCGTCACTTCGCTGAGGCTCAGGCGAACAAGCAGGATGAGGCAAATTTGTTTAGAGAAAGAAAAAGTTTACTAAGGAGAAAAGGAACAGAAAATAAAGTGGGGCCCCCAGGCTAGGGGCCAAGGCAGCCGAGGGGAGTCCTGCCGAGGGACTGCGGCTTCCTGCCCTGGTTACTCGAAAGCTCTTGGTGGCCTCACGGCCTAACTGTCTCTGTGCCCAGCCCTTCCCTCAGAGTACTTTTCCTTTATCGTCCGTGTCCAGGAATGTCCCTGCCCCTAGTCCTGGGCACCTGATATTCCAAAGTATGACCTTTGGAATGCGCCGTCCTTATCTCCGGAGCCTCCTCACTCCTCCGAGGCGGGGCTTCTCCTATTTTACTCTGACCCAGCTTGCCCTATGCCTCACTAGGAGCTGTACCTCCTGGCTGGGAAGACAGAGCTTCCCACAGGTTAAAAAAAAGTGCAAGCATGAAATTATCCGTGGGCGGGGACAGAGTCCTGCGGCTGAGGGGGACGGGGAAACTCTTGGCGAAGAAGTAGATGCTTGCAAGTGAGTCTGGGATCCCAGCAAGAGCACGGACATTGATGGTCGAAAGCCCAACAAAGATGGACAGGCGTGCTTTTGGCCAGTGCCCAGGGCCTTGCCTTCCGCGCAGATACAAGGTCGAGTCTGGGGCAAAGTCTTGGCGATCTGGCTCTGCAGTGCCCCGTTTTGGGGCACCCTAGTATTGCAGGCCACCTGTAAGTAACCCCGCCCACGCGTTCAAATCAATCTCAGTGGGACGCAGGCGCCCTGGAGATCGGAGGCTGTGACCATAGAGGCGCCCGGCTAGATCGCCGGCCTCGCGGGAGGCCGACATTTTGGATCCTGGCAGAAAAGTCGGGAACGACCGGGACCACGACCGGGTCAGGTAGCGCCGCCCAAGAACAGGAGAGAAGGGACGCTGCGGGAGCTACAAAATCTGGCGGCGGACTGACCCCGCGCCGCTCCCC